GTTTAAATTTGAAATGTTGTTGGTACAGTTACCTGCAGTCTAATAATTTTTTAAGGAATATTCCTAAACTGTTGGCCTGATCTACATACAAACATAATTTGATCTGCAGACGGTTATAAACCAGCTGTATGTGTTTCTGTTAACTGAGGGATCACAGTGAATTCTATATGTATTGGCTTGATCTAGGTTCCCTGGGAATTAACCTTAGTCTAATTGGAATTCTTCTTTGGCTGTGTTATTGCTAGCTCAGTGGATTCAGACTCTTAATGTTCACATTGAGGCTGCTAACTGCTGGTCATCAGGGAGCTCGGAGCTGGAAAACAATGAGTGGATGCGTCTGAAATGCTATGTGGGCTATGGCCCATGAACTGCACCAAACTGCTTGGGTGTGAGTTTGTCTGCATTTGTATCACAACAAGCCCCTTCACCTGTCTTCTAAGTCTTTCATCTATGGAAATGGGACCGCCACACTCCTGTGAGCACTGCTGGGGTCTACATACACACAGCACAAACACAGTCACATTCAGACACATACTTGGTTTAGGGCCAGCCATTGAAGAGCAGGGAGGTTAAACAGATGGCATCGGCTGTATCCGTTACACGGATTACCCAACACACACATGCATTCTGCCGCAACTGGCTTTGTGAGTTCACCTCATTTAACTGAATGGTGATTTTTATGAGGCATAACAACATTCGAGCCACCTACTGTTCTAGTCTGGCCCTTTCTGTCCCGTGTCTAATGCCAGACTGGCGGTACTTGGTAGCACTTCAAATTCCTTAACAGAATGTTTTTGATTTGGTGATATTCAAGAATATGCCGTATTATAATATTTTATTATGGTAGTAAAGACTCGTATTGAGGCTTATAAATGATCATATAAATACAGCTGGTGAACAGCTAGTCTTGGCTGGCCTACTAAGGTAATCATACACATGTATAATTGCAATTGAACTGTTATTGTTAAAACTAAAAGTTGAGGCTTGAACTAACAGTAAATCATCTGTATTTTATTTTATTTTTTTAAGCCAGAGAGACTTCTCAGTCTCTGAAGAAGTCACTTACCTGGATTATTGAGCATGCATCAACGCATAAGAACAGGATATACACATGGTCCATTTTTGCATACTTTGTCTACCAACTCTATGTTGTGGTTTCTACTTTTTTACACTCTTTTAAAAGTGTAAAGATAATCTCTTCTCTCTCAACTGAAGAAAAAAAATCAAGGCACATCATGAGATACAAGGCAGTGAAGTGAAACAGGGCATATAGGTGGTCAGGACAGGGAGTGTGAATGGAAAACTGACAGGGTAGTGAGGACCGTGAGACTTGTTTAGATCCAAAAACATGTAGAGTATGAAGATTTTGACACTTGTGATATTAAGTTACTTGGTTAGAGAGTCCATGTTGCAATATACTGGATGTATTATGAGTGCTATGAGTAAATGAAATGTGCCATATAAATAAACTTGCCATCGTTTGAAGGCTAGAATGACATCTCGGGTGACATTTTATATCTGGCAAATTAAGTTTAAATCTTAACCACTTGCTCTGCAGTGTGATGTATTAACCTTGTTCTGTCCTTGATCCTTTTCATTTCTTTCTTCTCTTGCTTTTTGCTACTTTCATTCGCCCCCTTTCTTTATATATCTCTACCTCACCTTCCTTCACTCTCATAATATACTTGTTGGTTGTTTGCTCTTCCTCTTTGTCTCTTTAACCATCTATTCCAACCCCGTGCCTTTCTTATATCCTCTACTGTCTAACTAACTCCTGCTCCTTCTCTCTCTCCCAGCCTGCAGATTTGGATGCCTGGGTAAGCAACACCACCATCGCTAGTGCCTGCTTCTTTTCTTTCTTTTTATTTATTTTTTTTTAAAATCACGTTTTTTTTTTTCTTGCTCTTCCCTTCTTGCTCTCTCTCCTCTTTCTCTCTCACTCTCTCTTCTCTATTCAAATGTCATGTTTTCATTGTGCATTAAAGCGAAGCTGTGAGTATGCTGCCGCCACCATTCCACACAACAACACTTTGGGAGGTATTCAGCTAGAAAATTACACATCATCTGTGCTGCTGGCAGAGGTGATTTTACTCACAAACACATATATACACTCACATCCCTTAAGCGTCAGTGTAGAAAGGGAAAGCTCTGTGAGCACAGTATAGGGATTTACAGATGTGTTCCTTGGGAATACATGCGACTGTTAAGTTAGGATGAGATTAGATTGGATTACAATAAATGTGATGTCACTCAGCGTAAGAGTGTGCGTCTGCATGGTTGTACCCACCATATCAGCAAAAAGCAGAGAAGATCAGTAGATCAGTCAGGGAAGATGTTGTTGTTCCATCTGATCTATATCGCTCTCGCTAATGCACAACTCAGTACAGCAATCAGTCATCATTACACCATCACACTGTGTGTGTGTGTGTGTGTGTGTGTGTGTGTGTGTGTGTGTGTGTGTGTGTGTGTGTGTGTG